GTCGATGTTTGGTCCTCGGAGTGTACGTACGTCCAAAACGCTTGAAGCATGCCTTCCGTCTATCACAACATGATCGATTTGGTTTCTCGTTTTTCGATCTGGAGACAGCCATGTAGCTTGGTGGATGTTCTTATGCTGGAACCTAGTACTACATATTACCATATTTCGGGCCCCGGCGAAGTCGATCAGCCTCAGTCCGTTATCGGACGTTTCGTCGTGGAGGCTGAATTTTCCGACAGTGGGGCCAAAGATCCCTTCCTTGCCCACCTTGGCATTAAAATCGCCAAGCACGATTTTGACATCGTGTCGGGGGCAGCGCTCATATGTACGTTCCAAGCGCTCATAGAAGAGATCCTTGGACGCCTCATCCTTCTCTTCCGTCGGGGCATGGGCGCAGATGAGCGAGATGTTGAAGAATCTAGCTTTGATGCGGATTGTGGCTAGACGTTCGTCCACCGGGGTGAACGCCAGTACTCGGCGACGGAGTCTCTCTCCTACCACGAATCCAACACCGAATTTGCGCTCCTTTACGTGGCAACTGTAGTAGACGTCGCAAGGCTTCACGCTTACTTTACCTTGCCCCGTCCATCGCATTTCTTGGATGGCGGTGATGTCAGCCTTTGTCTTCCCGAGGACATCAACCAGCCGGGCAAAGGCACCTTCCCCATTAAGGGTCCGGATATTCCAGGTGCATACCCTTAAATCATAGTCCTTTATACGTTTGCCGTGGTCGTCATCAGAAAAAGGGGGTCTCCTTCGAGGCTGTTTGTTTCTTTTCATTGGGCGGGGTTTTAACGTGGCGGGACCCAAACCAAGCGCACGCGAAGTTTTACGCCTTCTCACTTTAGCTCGCTCCCAAACGGGTGCTTGGTTGCTACCCAGAGGATACGTGGATATAAATATCCGGATGTTGTGAGCTGCGATTTGAACCGTACGCACAAGAATCGCTTCTGGCCACTCCCAGGTGAATGGCAGTCAAAAGTTTTCCACTTCTGCGCCATCCTTTACAACGATATAGACATAGTGCAGCGAATTAAAATTCAGCGGCTCCGCTGGCTTGGCCATGTCGTTCGGATGGACAGAAACGCTCCTGCTCTGAAAATATTCAACGCGGGCCGCGATGCTGGTAACAGAGGAAGAGGAAGGCCTGCGTTGGAAAGACCAGGTGGAGAAGGACTTGGCTTCACTTGGCATTTTCAATTGGCGTCAGTTAGCACAGAAGAGAAACGACTGGCGTGCTGTTTTGGACTCGGCCAAAATCGCTTAGGCGGTTACAGCGCCAATTAAGAAGAAGAAGAAGATGCATATGCCCACATACATACATACATATGTTACTTTTCATATCAATTCAAGTGTATTACATGCGCCCCACGCTTTTCGATTTCGGTGTCATTAATTGTTTATAATGACTTTTGCTAAAATTTCAAAATCAAAAGTTATCAAAACAAATTCTGTGGGACTGAGAAATATTATTTTCTTCTTTTTAGTCCATTTATAAAAGCGTTGTATATTAAAAAGTTTTTATTTTATTTCATTTATTTTCTACTTTTTAGTCTAGTCTGTACAAAATTTTGCAATAGATATTAAAATAATTCAACTTGCAGTGAAAGAGAACAGAAGACTATGCAAGCACAATGTTGTTTGCTCACATTTAGTATAAACATACATATGTACATACATACATATAGCAGCAGTTTATTTCATTTAAAGAAATGACGTGTCGTTCATTTCCGCTGTGACGTATATAAATAGTGCATATAGTTAGGCGCAATATTTAACTTCTTCTGGCGGGGCGACATCTATCTCTAGAGTTTTTCTAATTGTATGTCTTTGATATTATACCTACGACGAGGTTGATATCTAGACTTGGTTTGCCATAAATACCTTTGCTATATTTATAGTATGGTGGTCTGGACATACAACATTGCAAGTTGATAAAAGCGTTGTAAAATTGACTTGTGTAAACCCCAAGTACGCGCCCATAAGGAACAGCTGATTTTTGTTTGCAGACATAACCCCTTCATTGTGGCGTATCTTTTCCGTTATTGACGTACAAGTACCCATTCTGACGGGCCTATATGTGGTTTGTTGATGCTCTCTAAACACAAACGCGTGAAAGGCAAACGGTCTAGCAATGCGTGGTATTGTTGATCAATTTAATACTTTAATTAAACAAAAATATTATTAAAATTTCATTTTAAAAGTACCACTGTTTCCTACTGTGGTAGAAATATGTAATTTTTTTTAAATTTTATATATAGTTTAGATAGATAATACAATGAGTTTTTGAAAAAGTTTTTGTATAAAACCGGGTTTTTTACGAAAAATGCAAAATAAGCTTGCAATTCGCACAACTCCAAGAAAAACCCAAAATCCAAGATAGCGAAATGTTCTGGTATGAAATTTAGGAGCGAGACTTTGTTCTTCGTAGCTTTTCTCAATATTCATCGCAAACTGGATGTTAATATTGGCTCAGTAGTAAAAGAATTTGTATCTATACCTCGGTGAATTGCATATGACTTTTCCTTGAGTTTTGCTAATTTATATCCAGAATGAAATGCAATAATCTAAACACTCTAAAAAAACAAATTATATTTTTGGTTGTTACGAATGACTTTACATAAAACCATGCATGTTAGATAATTTAAGTGTTTTTTAAGCCCGTTGCCATACGGCAACACGGGGTGTAATGTGAACTGTCCCCCTTTTTATCTACTATCAAAATACATAAAGGCAGTTCACTCTTTGATACGAAAATGCGAAATGCAAAAATTAGCCTTTGTTTTGTTGCTTTGCTGTGCGTTTGTGCAAAACGACTCCACAACGGTGCGATATGTTTGTTGTAAAAAACTGCCGATTTTCGCACTTTCGCTCAAACGCACACATTTTCGCATCAAAGAGTGAACTCTAGTATAATGTGTGAGAGGGTGTAAAACCAAAACCGTTTACTTAAAAATGCATACGTTAACTAATTGCTAGGTTAGGCTAAGTTAATCTGGCCGGCGTTGAGCCGCACATAAACCGGTAGGTCTTTAGTGTTGCCAGTTGCTCATTTTTAAGCGTAAAGTAGACATCACAAAGGATGTAAACTCTTTGCGACTTTCAGTGCAAATTTCAGCTCTACTTTTGAAATGTCCTCTAACTTCTCGAATTTGTAGGCTCTCAAGTATTTTAATCATGTTTTTAACATTTCAGGACGACGGCAGAGAAGATGCCTAAACCATTTCCTGTCTCCCGCTCACGACACCTCCTGCACCTGTCCACGCTAGTGATACCCATTTTTTGTGCACGAGCAGCCGTCAGGATATGCCCCGTAAGCAATCCGGTTATAACTCTGCAATCTTTCTTTGACACAGTGACGCGAGGTGCTGACTCTTTTCCATTGGACCGAGGTATGGGGACTTTTTTTCGGCATTCCAGTAAAGCAGTATTGGTTTGATTATTGCTGTGTAGCACCAATGCATCAGGGCAGGTGATTGACCCCAAGTGACTCCCAGCATTATTTTACTTGCATAAAGGGCGTCACTGGCCTTATCCTCCCTTTCCTCAACATTGCGCTTCCACATCAGCTTACTATCCAAGGCTACTCCCAAATGTTTGTGTGGTCTTTAATTTACAGCTCGATTTTACCTAGCCGTGGGCACCTTATATCTTCTTGGGACTACACCACTTACCCATTCAAATTGACAAAAAACTTCGTTGTGCTTGTGAAGGATGTAAAACTATAGGACGAGTAGTCTGTGTAAAATGTGATGTGGGTTTATGTTTGAAATGATTTGCTACTTTTCATACCAAAAATTAGCTTCTGCATCTGATTTGAACGTAGAATATACATGCATAGATAAATTAAACCTTATAAATAAATAATGTCTTCTAAAAATCCATTTGAAATACGCTCCGCGTTGCCTTATGTAGGGATGTTGCGATACCATAAAAGTATCGATACCAGTATCAAATGATGTATCAGAAGCTAAGTATCGATACAAATATTGGTATTGGTATCGGAAGTAAAATATCGATATTTTATCCTTTTGATACAAAAAATTTTTGACATAATATGAATGATGCAGTTAATAAAAATTGATAAGAAATCTTTAACAACTTCAGTGTGTAATAAACAAAATATAAACAAGTAATTTTTAGCAAAAAAGAAAACCGACTTAAAAAAAAATATATATATCTCTATATATTTCATGATCCAATGATCGGATCTAAACGAGATTAGTATGGAACCACCTCTGAGACCTTTCCGATGCAAAAAGAATTATCGAAATCGGTTGACGTGGTCCAAAGTTATGCGGTAACATACATAAAAAAAATAAAATAAAAAATATTTCGACGAACTGATAACCTCCTCCTTTTTTGGAAGTCGGGTAAAAATAGCTTGATTTCATCAGAAAATCAGTAAATCCTTCTTTTTTTATTTGTTCTATGTTCAAACAGACGTTGCACTTAAACGAGCTTTTGTCAGTTTTGGTAATGTGATTCCATACTTTACTTTTCGGCGTAAAAGCAAAAAAACATAAATAAAAAATCAATGTCGTTACACTGTATATGTACTGTGTTTACACGGTTTGAATACATCACGATGCCATACTAGTATCAAATGGGCATAGGAAGTAAAATATCGCCCAAACGATAACATAGTCACTAATCAGCAAATATACTTAAACAGAATTCTAGGAACAATATGGCTTGTATGTAGATGATATTGATATGAAAGAAAATACCCATATTGCTATCAATAGTATCGTCTCCCTAGTACCGAATACCGATTTACCCAATGTCGAAACCAAAGTATAGTTACCTAAATTATATCAGTAGTATCGCAACATCCCTAGCCATATGGCAACGGCCGATATCGGACGAACTATACTACTCCCAAAGTTTTAGTAATATTTATTCTTTTACTTTAAAGCTGCTTTTACCCTGTATATAGAAACAAGCAAAACAAGTTAATCTGGGATAATTTGGGTTAATAAAATAAAAGGAAACAAAAGTTATTTAAAGGACTAATAAATTACTATTTTACTGAAAACGGCACCAATGTACCGCTGACGAAAACAAGTACCAATTTGGGTACCATAGTACCGAAAGTGGCAACTGTAACTATGTGTGTAAAAAAGGAAGTGAAGTGTTGATAGGCGAAAACAAATTACCGCTCGCATCACGCGATAGATATAGCGCCCCATAGCCCATGATTGTACGCCGCCATACTCGCTGAAGTCGCAATGCACGCGAGGTGTCCGTATCTGGTAGCTATAGCTTACATTTCGTATCGCATTCGCGAAGACGTTTACAGCGTCAAATAGCAAATCTTGAAGGAGTGGCCGAACTCTCTGGGCGGAGAAAGAATCGATACCGTACTGAGAAGCTCGTTGCCATGCATTAGTGTTCTGTTTGGTTAAATATTTTTATTTGTGTTAAGCAATTTCGTTAAACCGTTTGTATTTTTCAACTTACATACAAATTTCCATTTAGCCTCAAACGGGCCGCTGTGATGTTAGCAGAGAATGTAACGTTATCCCGTAACTCTTCCAAACTTGCGGTATGCGTCTCCAAATTGGTAAGGAACAAGTGCTGAGAGTTCATAAAAAGGAATGAATGGTTAAAAACTTTATTTCATTAAATTATCTCCTAACTAACAAATGTACAGATAGTTGTTTTGTTTAGAGGCACTAAAAATAACTTAAAAATAACTAGTGAAACTAAAAATAACTAGTGAAACCGCAAGGCGTTAAATGGGCAAAATTTGATTTAAGTAGTTAGAGTTATAAGCGGTCCGTATGCCTAATTGCATCCAGCATTTTCTGAATAAAGAGAGGTCTCGCGTGGTGTCGGTTTTTCATTTCATCAGATTTGAAATCACAATGTGCCGCTAAAAAAGTGCTTAGTTCTTTAATTTGACATCTCATTTTTGGAATTCGAAAGAGCTGTGAAGATCTGATGACCTTCAAAGAAACACAATCAGGTATATTTGTATGTATATATAATAACTAGCTTATACCCGCGGGTTTCACCCCGCGCTTTTATACAAATATGAAAAATAATTTAATGATGTTAGATTTTATTTCTGTGCCCATTTCGTTATAGCTCGTTATTTTTTAAGCGAGTTAAGGTATATAGGCCGTTTAAAACTACGAAATTATAAAATCTCGCCTGCGCGCTAGGCATACGAAAGATATCAATCCCTCTAAGTTTACCTTAAAATGTTTCCAGGTATACGACGCGTGAACGTGTAACCTTCTTGGTGCCACGGCGAGTTCTAATATTTCCAACTCAAATTTAGTAACCTGGCCTTGATAAAATACCACTTCTCATTACTGTAGCAAATGCCTCAAGAGAGCTTTAAATTATAAGGCCGAACCCAGTTCTCCCTTTTCCATTTAATGAAATTTATTCTGTCAGTACGGCACTTATAAATAAATCTCCATAACAGATTTAAAATACTTCGAGAGATTTTCTATCCTTCCAGAGATATGTATTAAGAAGTTTTTAGTATGTATGGGAGGCGACATGCCTCCTTTTTTAATAACTCACATTTTTTCCATGAGCAATTGATACATTTTGTATACACAACTCCATACCAAGTTCCAGTATTCTTCCACAAACACAGGGATATGTGGTAAGAAAAAGTAAATTTGTACTGGAAGTGCCACGCGCCTTTTTCTTATAACCCCAATCTTCTTCCATGAATTTAGAATTGATTTTACATACCCCAGTACAAAGTCCCAGTACTCAACCATGAACACCTCTAGAGATAAGCAGTATAAAACAGTAAATTTGTACGGCAGGAACCATGTCCCCTTTTCGAATAACGCAAATTCTTCTCCATGAGTATGGAATTAATTTTGTATACACATCTCGGTGTCAAGTTCCAGTCCTCTGCAATAAACACCTCCAGAGATATGCAGCATAGAAAAATCAATTTGCATGGGAGTTGCCACACCACCTTTTCCAATAAGTCTCATTTTTCTCCATGAGTATGGTATTAGTTTCACATACATACATACATATGAATTTCCATACCAAGCTTGAGTGCTTTACCCAAATATTTGAAGAGATATGCAATATGAAACTTTCAGTCAGTATGGGAGGTGCTACGCCTCTTTTCCAAAAACGTCCATTTTTCTCCGTGAATATGAACATGATTTCACACAGTGTTGGCAAACTGTTAATCTGATTAACGATTAAAAATTAACGATTAAAATGTTAATCGCGTTTGACGATTGAAATTAATTAGTCGTAATCAGCTGTACGATTAATGATAACATTTTTTTAATCTTTAATCGGTGGCTGCGATTACGTTTAAATAATTTAAAACATTAATCGTTAATCCAATTAAAAATAAAATCTGATTAATTTGGCTAGTTTGTCCGAGTCTGAAACCAAACACCAGTTATAGTAATTATTTTGTGTTTTACGC